AGGCTTTCGGGAAGCGTCTCCTCTGAGAGAACGGCGGCAGCCGCGGCGGCATTTACGGGGAGGAAAAGCAGCAGCTGCACTTCGCCTCCAAGCGTCAGACTCTGACTTATACATGCGCTCCCAGAAGCGGGAACTGACCTTTCCGAGAGAACGTGCGGGTGGCGGGGAGAAAAGGGGGAGTGGAGGAAGGGGATCCCTTATTTTCCTCCGGCCACTCCCAACCAGCCTGGGAGGCCGGGCACCTGCGCCACACGGTTCCCAGCGCTAGCCCTGGGTGCAGTGACGCTTCGGGCCGCCTCGAGGCTTGCTGGCTCCCAGAGCGCCAGCTCCTGATCGTCGCTGTGCGCTGGGAGCTTCACCACCGAGAAGCCGGGCCCACTCACCCCCATCCCCCGCCTTTAAACAACTGACTTCTGCATTTAAAGAATTCGGGCTCCTAGAATCGGGATCCTCTCCACGTAGCTTGCACCCAGAAGAGCAAAGCGAGCGAGCCAGCCATTCTGGCTGCATGAACCTCTCCCCCTAGTGATGCAATTATTTATAGCTCAAACTCCTGCCCGAGTCTACGTGTGCTCGCGCGCGGGGTTTCGCCGCGGCGGTGCAAACTTTTCCTCAGGACCCGCTATTCCGGAGGAAACAGGACAGGGCGCCAGGACTGAATGTGTCTGGTCGTTAGTGTCAGGAGAGTAAAAATGTGGTTTCCGATGTGTATGGTGTGCGTTTCAAGCAGACGTCCGTCCATCTAAAAACGCGTAACCATCAGCTCGGAGGCACGGTTTTCTCTGAATGGGTTCAGCATCAACACAGGTTGCAGATGTGGAAACTGGGGTCAGAAGGTCAAGCTGGATGAAGGAGAATATGGCATTGGGTTGGAAGAGGGGTGAGCGTACGAAGAGAATAAAGAAAAGCAGCACCAAATCACTTAAGTTTTCAGGAACAGAAGAAGCCAGAGCCGATATGTAACCCTCCCATCACCTCCATGACCTAAATCTGATAACAGATTCCTCTCCTTCTACACTTCAGGAATTTTTCGTATTCTGCATTTAAAATATCACATCAACCTTAGATAAACAGCCTGGAAGACGTAAGGGGGGCGGGGGGGGGGGAGTATTGTAACGCTGCTCAGAAGCAAGACACTTCCATTGACAGGATGTATTTTCCCCCAGCTCCAACTACAGGCACCGAAAGGTATATTACCTTCTGTCGATGGTTCAAAGGAGAAAGAAAACATAACCATATACAGGCGTATCTAGCTGCTCAAATGAAACCAGCTCGTTCCAACTAGAACGAACCCTCGGGGTCCAGGTCTTTCCAAGGTTTGGCCACTCGGACTCCTCAATTGCTGAACTGTGGGGCAAATAAGTGGGGGCTTCTACTCGCCCAGGCGGCCTCTTGATACACACTGCACAGCCCCAGCTCGCCCTCTGCCTTCCCGGCCCGACCGAGCCTGCTAGGCTGCCGCTGCCCCCGCTGCCGCTCTGCGCAGGGCGCAGCGCGCGCTGAATGGAGACATCCGCGAGCTGCGGGGCGCGCGGGGCTCGCTCGCTTCACCTCCGCGGCGTTATTGTTCCGCGCCGGCGGCCGAGCGCCAACCGCAGGCCCGCGCCCCCGACGCAGTGAGCACTTCATTAGTAACCCGAGCGTTCGGAGCTTACACAAGCCTCGGCCCCTCAGGGAAAGCTCCTGGCTGCCGCCGCTCGCCGGCGGGCTAGTGGGGACGCTAAGGGCTGCACTTCCCAGTCTCCGACCCAACTCCGGCCATGGCTCCCGCCGGAGGCGAACACGAGGAGAGGGGTAGAGGGAGATGTGACCCGCTCGGGGTACTAGGGAAAGAGCTCGCCGGCCGTCCCCCCACCCCCACCCCCTTCCGTCCTCGCTTGCTGCTCACGCCCTCCGGACTGCCCGCGCCAGAAATCCCGCTCCCGTCGGATGGCCGGCCTCGGGCGCCCGGCTGCAGGCTGCTCGCAGTAGCCCCGGCTCGCCGCCCGCCCGTCATCCAGAAGCAGCCCGAGTGGTGAGGGGGCGGGGAGCGGGTGGGGGGGGGTTGCCCGGCGCCGGAGGCGCGGCCGGCAGCGCCGCGGACGAGCTGGCTCGTGCAGGTAGACAGCTAAATAAATAAGTCAGAACAAACTTTGCTTTCTCATCGCCTTACCTTCCTTCGCAGCCTGCGCCTCCCCTGTGTGTGCAAAGCGGAGCAGCCAGATGTAGTATAAAATAATCCATGAAGGGTACCGAGTTTGAAAAACCATGGTGTATGAGCAGGTTTTATTTTAGGTTTCAGTTATCTTGAGACGTAGCTTTTTAAATGCTGTTTGCTCCGAAGTGGTTTTTGTTTTTTTTTTTTTTACTGCGCTTCTTGTATTGATTCCCCTTCTCGGTCCCCGGCAGGCTGCTCCACGTTTAGCTTTTTTTATTTTTTTCCCCCCTCCTGTTCGTTCGCACGGTGTTTGCTGCCTGCAAGTCTCCGACTGCAGACCGGCCGCTTGCTCCACACTCCAATAATATCAATTAGGGGGGAGGGGGCGGGGCTCCGAGCCGAGAGCCTCCGCCACTCGGGTTGAGTGACAGGCACAGCCGGCCTGCCAGGCGGCGATTCCCAGGGCCGAGGGGCGGGTCCCGGCGAAACGGCCGCCCCGGCCGTGGGGTGAAGTTTTAAGGGTAAAAATTGTAAGCTAAAACAGAATTAAAAACATAAATCTCTCCACAAAGGCTCTAAAACTCATAGAACCACAAACTCACAAATATGAAACCACTTCTAATAGTTAAAATAAATTCATCAGGGTCTCAACACTTTCCCCAGGGTCTTATCCCCACTTCTTAAAGTGACACCAAGGTAGCCTTTAAAGTTTAAAATATTCCTTTCAACTACTGAATGACTAATACTCAGTGATGTGAATACAAATACTTTTCCATTAAAACCAGGAAACCAAAGAAGTAACATCGTTCATTCCTCTGATGAGTGTAGGTAGTATAGTTAGTCCCCTTATTGTGTCCCCTCTCTCTGTCAGATAGAGGCATGTGCAACTTCACTTTTATTTTTAGAAACAAGAAGCTTCACATTAAATGCACATGTGCCAGGCTGCTGACAATTCTGCCTGCACCACTGTACAAGGATACTTATTTTTAGGTTTACCAACCTTCTTTCTCTTATAGATCCAGGTATATTGATAAAGAAGTCATGACACTTAAATGAAAAGAAACTTTCTTTCTCTTATAGATCCAGGTATATTGATAAAGAAGTCATGACACTTAAATGAAAAGAAATGACTTAGTCAAAAAGAGAATGTTCCTTATACAGTATTACACAGCATACGCTTTAATATATAAATTTATATTAGACTATACTTGACTAACAATAAGGCACAGAAACGTATTTGTACATGAAGCCAATTAAATAAAAAATAATTAGTATATAAAACTTTCACATTTTAAAATAACAAAATAGTGAATTTCCTCATATCGCTTTGAAAACATTTTATTTTAGCTTGATATCTATGACTTATGCATATTATTGTAAGAATGAATTTTAGAAAAGTAAAGTGTGTTTGTGTGATAGTATGAATTAGAAAAGAACCTATTTTTCTGAGCAACACCAAATAGTATAAACAGCAAACACGTAAGCCAAAGTAGAAATTCTGAAAACTGTTCTTTAATTTTTACGTATTCATTGTACAATGCAGTAGAGTAGCCTACTTATATTTAGCAAATTTTAAATAAATGGAAAAAGAGACTAAAAGCCTTAATATTTGTATTTATATACCCTCTTTTGAAACATCTTTCATAAAGGTATAATGAAAAGATGAAAAATATCTATCTTCAGATGCAAAACAAAATACCCATTTTTCTGCTGTTTGTGATATTTTGTCCATGTGATTATTAATAATCACACATAACTGTACATATATAAAAATAAATGCATAAATTCAAGGCATACATCATAAATGAGGTTACGGTTGTTATTTTTTTTAACTTACTATAATACTAATATTTACCTCACTATTTACCTCTGGGAAATATCCTCTGATTTTAAGAAAGAAATAGTTAAGTAAATTATAATGACTTCAGGGAATAAGTTCCATGAATTTTCAAATAAAAGAAAAGGCTCAGTGTGTGTGTGTGTGTGCGTGCGCGCGCGCGTGCTTGTGTTTGTGCGTGTGTTTGTGCGTGTGTGTGTCTAGTAATTGGACCTTTAGAAGGTAAAGGTGTGTGTGCGTGCGCGCGCGCGTGCTTGTGTTTGTGCGTGTGTTTGTGCGTGTGTGTGTCTAGTAATTGGACCTTTAGAAGGTAAAGGAACAACTGGAGACTTCAGTTTGTTACAAATCCAAGGCTGTGGAACTAAACAGTTAACAACAACAACAACAATGAAATCAAAGGGCTCTTTCTGAACCTACTACTTTTGCACTTACTGTCTAAATGAATTCACAGCTGGTAAATGTGAAAATGCAAGTTCATCACAGAAAAGGGGGTAATTTAAACTGAATTGGAAAAGGTACTGTGCAGAAGAAACTGATTATGAACAGAAAAGACGCATTATGTCTCAGTTAATAGATATTACAGAAAATTAGGTTCTCTGTGACTTCAGCCAAAATGTAAACAATCTTTCCACTGTATAAGAAAATCATTTACATATTTACATTAGCATGATTTATGTGGTGTATATAAAATATTTATTTGCAGTCTAATGTAAAAAATGTACATGAGCTAAACGCAGAAAAAACATAGTAATAATTTCACTTTTCTAAGCTTCAGATTTAGTTGACAGTTTAGCAAGCCAGAGGTCAGGAATCAAATTATAAGTCACATTTTGTGCCTTTTTGAAAGTTCACCCACTTTTCTGAAGTCAGATAAATGGGTAAAGTTCCAAAGATTAGAATTATAGTTCTTTAACTGCAATTACTGACTTAATTTAAGACAGCTTAACAAATAAAATATAATTTATATATAAAGTGTAGAAGCACACTGGGATATTGCTAAGGTGTCACTGAAAATTTCTAATTACTTAAAATATTCAAAAGTGTGAAGTCAAATAACTTTTATTATTTGAGTAATATTAAAAGAACTACACATAGCTGGGAAAATGTGGCACATTATACCAGAAATTAATTCACATATTCAGTACTCTTAAGAATTTTTTTTTCTCCAAATTTGGTTTTGCCTGGTGAGGTTCTTTCTTTCCATTACTTACACTTCATTTTGCCATAATTCACCAGCACTGATAGGTAGAACTGGCTTAAATTATTCAGATTACTTATACATGCTTTTGTGGTTTCTCATCTTGAAATTTTTTAGCTCTTCACCCACTAGATTTTTAGATTTTTAGGTGTGATTTTTAGATTTTCAGTCACCACCAGGGGGCATCAGGACCTCTGGCTGTCCTGGCCAATCAAGTTCACACAGAATAAGGATGAGCTAATTATGAAATTTTGTGTGAAGTGCCCATGTATATGTACATATATATTATGAATATATAATATATTTCCCTTGATACTTTTAAGTTTCTTATTATTTCTGTACCTGAGCCAGCCTACTAAAGGCATTCATACAAATTTTTGAAATGTCCAATGACCTATTTCAGCCTATAGAGGCCAGGGTATAGACTTCATGGCTGTTTAAAGCCTTAGAAGGTAAATTATATTACATAAAAGCTCTCTCCCAATTTTCTTAACTAAACACCTAAAAGATCCTTTGTCTCCAGATAGACCTCAGGTATTCTCTTCCTTATTCTCCAAAGTCTTTTATCCTGGCAGCAGAGCCAGGCAGGTTGGAGTGTGCTCTAGAACTTTGAGTCCAGAGTTTTTAACAGTCCTCTGAAGTTCTTAGAACTCTCTAGTTTGAGGAGTATTTTAGAGACCACTCCTCATCCTTGTTGCCTGCCGTAGTTAATAGTAAAAATGAAATTCTGTCCCAATTTGGCTAATCTCAAGGAGGTCTAAAAAGAGGTCTAAATGAGATAATTTTCTACGTATCATAGCAATTTAGAAGAAGAATTTCTATGTTATGAAAAAAGAAATGCATGAATAGTGCCCCTAGTTATGAACTTATAAAGCTATGGCCATTCTCTGCACTGAGGAAGGATGACATTATATACAGTTAAATGTAGTGCCTTATAATAGTCCTCGACATGACGTGTAGTTGTTCTTTCTAGTTATGAACTTGTAAAGCTATGGCCATTCTCTACACTGAGGAAGGATGAAATTATATACAGTTAAATGTAGTGCCTTATAATAGTCCTCGACATGACGTGTAGTTGTTCTTTGTGAAGAAAGTGAGCAAATTTATGAGACAAGGGCCTTCCTGGGAGAAGACCCTAAACCAATCCCATTTGAGTTTTAACAATATTAGAAGCTCTGAAAGATAAGATGATTTTGGCTAAGAAAGAAATGAGCCCAAGTACCTCAAAGAAAAGTGCTCATTATGAGGGAAAGAAAATTCTGAACTTAAAATTTGCTGGGTAAAGACATGTAGCTGAGACTTGAAGGTGCTCTGAACCCAGCAAGCTAGCTATGGTGTCTGTGCTGATTATGTAAGTATGAACTAAAAGAGCTGCATCATTATAGCTCAAATGTGTTATGACACTATGGCTGGGGAGAGGTCTATGGAACAAGGTATCACTGTAGCAATACTACATAAAGGCAATTTTCACAACTTACACAGTATGGCAATGAGGAGTATAGTCAGTAGTATACTGAACATTATAATCATTTGAATGAATTATGATGCCTTTAGACTGAGTTTACTACCAAGGGTTCTTAGATAATTAAGGAGAGGAGAAAGCCTCAGAAGGGAGATGTTAATTTTCCCTTAAATTTGGGCAAGCCAACCTAAAAAGATAAGTGACTGCATTTCTTCTTGATGATGTGGGTCATATTGATTATAGATTCATGATTTAATAGCATAATATTCCAGAAGAAATAATATTGACCAAAACCTTCAATTAAAAAATAGAATTTTCAAGTATTTATTAAATATCTAGAAAGCACTGGGTTCATTTGCAAGTTAATAAAGCATAACCCAATACTCAACAGACCTAATACCCAGCAGGATATCTTTGTGAGTCATGTTTGCTTTTAGAAACAGGGAGCATATCCTATGCTTAGAGAAAAAGGTAACCAGCCAGTTTTTCTCGGTGTTGATTTCAGACATATCAACAAAAATGATATCTTCATACTAACCCTACTGACCATAAACTGCAATGTGTTTCAATGCACAGTAAGTATTTTTTCATCTGGCAGGTCTAAAGTTGTTTTCTTTTCCCCTCTCTGCATTCAGATCAGATAAAAAATTTCATGAAAATTTTTACTACCTCTCAGGTTCTATAAGGTTATTATTGTCATTGTTCG